TAACAGTTTCACTTAGCTCCATATCTTTGTCACCAAACATTATCTGCTTAGTGCTCTTCCTTCTATAGCCACTGAGTCTTGCTTTTTTCACTGGCCAGCATTGTTCAACAACAAGCGGTGGGGCTTTTTCTGCACGCTTCCTCCTAAAAAATAAAGCATTTGACTTGGTTAGATACTAGAACAAGTAGCAAAATCAAAAACTTGCAAAAACAGTAACATAAACATACTTTGGCCTCTGAGGAGTGTAGATGCACTTGGATGAACCAATTCTGTGCCCAAGTACCTCACACAACTTGCACCTATTTTTGTTACCTTTTTGAGCCCTTTTGGGCTTATCATTCTTTTCCTTTTCCTTTTCCCCCTTCTTACTACAACCACCTTTCTCAAACCAAGCTTTGAATCTGCTCTGTTTAGGCCTCCCAGCCTTTCTTCTAGTGACAGGGGGACACAAGGTAAATTCTATTTCCACCTCAGGCCACTGAGATTGGTCAGTCAGTGCAGGAATTGGACTTGCATATGCAGCTTTGAATTTTTGTACTGAATAATACTCATGCAAATATGGGTGCATATTTAACCTGGGTTTAGATGCCAAAAAAAGTATGGAATGCTCACATGGTTTTCCAGTGTGTTGCCACTCTTGGCAAGTGCACTCATGCAACTCAGTATTTACCACATGCCTCTTGCCACTCTTTGTATCTCTAACTTCAGCACCCCACAAGGAAGATTCCTCAACAGATAGATGTGAAAGATTTCTACTCCTGTTGACCACCTGTTGTACCACTGCTGGAAGCTTGTCCCCTTCCAAAATATTTGCAATTTTTCCTCTCAACTCCCACAAACGCATGATCATGATTCTTATTTGGTCCACCATGTCATGCACAGGCAAGTCTTTCAAATGCTTCACTTTGTTGTTAAAACTTTCTGCCAAGTTGTTATTGATATGATCACATTTTATGGCAGTATTAAAACCTGATCTATACCACAACAGAGAATGGTGGGTGTTCAACCATGAAGCAAATTCATTATCACTACATGATGCCAATATCTTACCAAGGTGATAGGAATGTGTCTGTCTGGTGTAGGATCTTGCTGCTGGCCACATGCGCCCAAATTCATCTCCTCTGAATTTTTTTATCAGATTCATCCACATATGTCCAAAGCACTCCCTCTGCTCAGCATGGGGGAAAACACTTTTTACTGCATTTTCCAACCCTTTACATGCATCTGTGTGGATGGCCAATGGAGAAACTGGCCCTATGCATCTTTTCAGTTGCATCATGAACCATATCCATGATGCCTCTGCCTCTTTGCAGTAGTGTTTGGAGTCTTGGCTAAAATAGGAGTAATCTTCTCTGTAACCCAAAGCTGTGATGTCATCTTTGAAACTCTCTGTGAAGTGGTCATACATGTATGCTGGTGTGGTATTTGATTTACCCTTACTGTACTTCCATCAGGTTGTAGTCTGGCAGACAAGTACCATTTGCAAGGATTGCCACCACCATCATAACCTTTGCACCGAGCATAAAATTTCTTTCGATCAGTCCACATAGTCTTGGCATCAAACTCTTTTTTCACTGCATAGGTCCTGAAAGACATCCTAAACTCCTTCATGCTTGGCCACAACTTTCCCACCTCAATAACTGGGTTCTCTTTGTCATACAAACAAACCAGCTCATTATCATCTGCATCATCCACATCATCTGCAGCCTCTCTCATCAGGTGTTCTTCATCCTCATTTGCATTTCTAGGGCCTGTGTTACCTTCAGCTGGCAAAGAACTGTCATCCTTCTCCTTATCTTTGTCATCAACTTGAATGCCAAACATTTCGGCCATATCAATGTCAGATATTGGTGTAATGACCAAATCTGTTTTTTCATTCAACTCTACTACATTCCAGTCAACAACAATCTTCCTAGCACCATGGGTTCCCTCCTCTCCATCTGCATCAATCCCAGTATCTTCAGCTACTATAGTCGGTTCAGTCAACAATGCCAACATCTTCTTTTGTGAAGCCCACTCATCATCTTCCATCTGTGCAGCCATCTTTGATGGCACATAACCAACTCTGAAATGAGTTTGCAGATCAATTAGCTCTGCATAAAATGTTACTTGTTTGCTTGCCCATCCTCCTTGCTGATCAATTTCAGCAACCATGGATTCTCCATCTTCAATTCTCACATATTCACCATTATAGTTATCGAAACGTTGCAGAGATACCTCTTGTTCTGGACCCCAAACAATACTCTCCCCAATTCTCTCCACCAAATTGCCCACGGCCTTCTCCTTCATGATCTCCAATTCCTGGGGATCAACATCTGCAAAATCGACATCCAACCTCACGGTGGTATCTCTATCAATGTCTTGGACACTGCCATCACTGAGCTTGGCTTTACAGGGAAAAAATTCCACTATAATTGCGAATGTGGTGGCAGAACCTGAACCTCCCCTGTTTTGTCAATGGCAGGCAGCGGCGACAGTCACTACCAAATCGAGTTCGATTCTAAATCGCCAAGAAAAGAGGGTGCCATTACCGATTTGAAGCACTGTCTCCTCGGGGCAGCCCGTCTCCTCGCTCCATCTCATCTAGCCCTCGCTCCATCTCCTATCCAATCAAGCAACAGGGGCAGCATGAGGCCACAGATTTATTCAAAATTCAGTGGAATGGGAGTAGTGTTTGGAAAATACTCACTCGCAATAGCCGCTGCAGGGATAGGCGCTCCACCACCGGGCCGCGGAGAAGAAACAACCCCCGGATCCAATGGAGCCCGATTCTAAATCGCCAAGAAACAGAGGGCAGCATGAGGCCACAGATCGGGGAGTGGGACTAGGGTTTCGGGCTCACCTCGCAATAGCTCTGCCGCTGCCGAGAAATGCGCTCCACCACCGCGGAGAAGAAACCACTGCTGGAGAAGTTGCTTACGGCGGCGCCGCTCGCCCAGTCCAGCACGGGCGAGTCGAGCACGGTCACACAGTCGCCGGTCGAGTCGTGGACGGTTGACTCTTGACTACGTGGCCATAGGTGGACCCCACCAGTCAGAGCACATAACCCCCCGTGTCCTAACCAAATCTCAGCCTAACGGACAGCCAACTAGCCGCGTAAATGGTGTGTCGCATGGGAGCTATTTTTTCCAACGAAGATGTCGCATGCAAGCTATTACAGCCAACGACGTCGCATGAGAGACAGTTCACACCAACGACGTCGCATGGGAGCTATTCACCCCTGGTAGCCAAGGCGGCTGTGGGTAAGTACTGCTTCAACTGCTAATACATGTCATTACCAGATTCTTTAACTACAATACTGACATGTGAACATAAGATGTACTCTGTACTCCCTCCGTTCCTAAATATAAGTTTTTGTAGATATTCCATTAAATGGACTACATACGGAGCAAAATAAATGAATCTAAACTTGAAATGCATCTATATACATCCGTATGTGGTTCATATTGAAATCTCTACAAAGACTTATATTTAGGAACGGAGGGAGTAAATGTTTATATTGGATACCATGTTAATTCTAAAGTAAATTCTGAAAAGATAGGTAAATAATAAGTTAAAATGGTACATAGACAACTACACGACCCCTGCCCATTTGCGCGTACGCATGCTGAAGACTGGCCCATACACCAGCCGTCATCCTTGACCAAATGAGGTTACCCAGTGTGAGGCTGTGAGCTCGCGTGGTCCTCTTCTTTTCGTGGTTTTAGAATGGGCTTATCTGTGTGTCCCACTTCACTGCCAGTCAAAAGGACCCACTAGGATGCATAGTCTCTGGATCATCTAAATACGTTGGTGAATAGACGGGCTTAATCAAACATGTTCAGTAGTATCATTTGTTCGTAAAAAGTTATAAGAAAGAGATCAAAATATTATTGATCAAATCTAACACTACAATTTGAACTAACCAATCTAAATATTTTTGTATTTTTAAATTCTCAAAGTTAGAAAAGTTTAATAACATGACTACTTTTGTAAGATGTCAGGTACTTACTTTCTAGGCTTTGATTGCCTTAATTTCTTGCTTTCTACAATATTCTATGCATTAATCTAGCTTACCCGTTTACATAAGAATTAACAATAATTTCACGTGTAAAATAATCATTAGAAATAGGACCCACAATATTTTTGTGGAGCGTGGTGCCTTCGGCACTATAATTTTTGGTGTATGAATTATGTTGCTCTAAAGAACATATGAAATTTTTAGAGGGTCATTAAAATGAAGTTTAGAATGATTTTGAATTGTCATAAAAACAATGGGATTGAAATGGCTTTAAGACTTTGGCACATAAGATCCCATTATGTCCGTTTCAGCTTGTTGGCATAGAGGGTAGCTTCTCCTTTCATACATGTCACTATCAAAACAAATGATAAATGGACTTGAAGATGAGAAAATTTTGTGCCTTGGTGAAAACTCATCAAAGCAAAAGATCCTCACGCGCTTCCTCGGGAGCTACAAGTACACAGAGACTAGCTTTTTCGACAAAGAGCGGATTTTATTGACTTATAATGTTGCATCAAGAGAATACATTCACTATGAGCACACGCTCGACCGTTGCACGATTAGGATGCACACGACCAATACCAACGCAGAGACTAGTTTAGTAAGCCCGAATATGCACAACACTCACATTGGATCAAACACTATTTTCTCCCTTGGTGCATTTTGCTCAATTCCTACTCATCCATTTATGCATTTTCTCAATTTCTCGATCCACCTTGCGGTAAACTTACAAGGATGCAACCAACAAAGGTCCACAACTCCACATACAAATACTTCCCCTTGGTATAGAAATCCAATTCCCCGAGATAGAGTACATATATATGGTTTACTTTGTGAGGCTCGCTGACTCGAAGATCACAAGGCAGAGTCCCTCCCCTTTCTTTCTTGTGTTAAACTATTCACTGGTACTTCTACTTTTAAGTAAAATTCTAAATAACTTGTTGAATCAGTAATTTATTATCTTTTATGCAATATCATTTGTTGCAAACTTTTTAGTAGGATGTTTTCCTATGTAGGTAACATTGGTGGTATTTCTGTCATAGTGGTTATATCATTTCTAGTTCTTCTCCACAAAGAGAGAAGGAAGACCAGGGAGTTCTACGAAAAGAATGGTGGACCTACACTAGAGAGAGCAAAAAATATTAAAATTTTCAAAAAGGAGGAGCTCGTGCCAATTTTAAAGGAAAGCAATCTTATTGGAAGAGGTGGGTTCGGTGTAGTTTACAAGGGCACTCTTGGTAAAGAACAAGTTGCAGTGAAGCAACCGATTAGTGCTAGTCTGCTGGAAAATGACCAATTTGCAAATGAAGTCATCATCCAATCTCAAGTCATCCACAAGAATATTGTTAGGCTCATAGGTTGTTGCCTCGAGGTTGGTACACCGCTGCTAGTATACGAATTTCTCTCTGGTGGTAGCCTGGATGACATTCTTCACAGCAAAGACAAGAAGCCTCTAAACTTGGATATACGTTTAAGTATAGCTGTAGAATCAGCAGATGGTTTTGCTTACATGCATTCAAAAACAAACACCAAAATCCTACACGGTGATGTTAAACCAGCAAATATACTTTTGGATGATAAGTTTGTCCCCAAGATCTCGGACTTTGGCATATCAAGGTTGCTTGCGGGAGACAAAGACCACACCGGAAAAGTCATCGGTGACTTGAGCTATATGGATCCAGTATATCTACAGTCAGGCTTGCTAACTGAAAAGAGTGATGTCTATAGCTTCGGAGTGGTGTTGTTGGAACTTATTAGTAGGAAGAAGGCCACACATTCTGACAATAATAGCTTAGTAAAGAGCTTCCTCGAAGCTCACAATGGAACAAAGCAACCGAGTTGTTTGACAATGAAATTGTGGTAGCGGAAGACTTGGAGCTTCTTCAAAATCTGGCAGGGATGGCAGTGGAGTGTCTCAACCTCGACGTGGATCAAAGACCAGCGATGGCAGATATAGCACACCGCCTTTTAATACTGAACAAGTCTTGTAGATCGTCAGTTCTTGGACGCTGAGTGAATACATAAGTTTGTGATAACGTTGTTGTTTTTTTTTTGCTATTTTGAGCAAATATTATTGATACATATGGGAAACGTGTCCATTAGTTCCAAGAAAATATGTACTTGGTTGTAACTCACTCGTTGTGTAACCATGTATTCGTGTTAGCAATTGTACGTCTTCCATATACAAAGGAGCAATCATCGTCACATTAGCGTATAATTAGCAAATTTCCCCATGTGCTTGGATGAACCAGCGCATATGTCTTGTTGAAGCTGGTTCTGGCTGATTTTGACTGTTAAGATGCACCTACAAATCAACAGTAGTGCAGTTTAATGACTACTAGTCGCATGGAGCCGGAATCGTTAGCTCTTCCGCACCGGAATCTTGCACCAAGTACGTCCTCATGCATATTTGTCAGCATGGAAATCGCTCGAGGTTACACGACGGAACAGCAGTGGGTGAGAACACAAGGTGGTCAGCTTTTGGTCGGGAAAGTATGTCACGGGTGGAACGATAGGGCTGGCACGCCTAACTACCTCCGTCGGTATCGCCGCCGTTTGTTCGAAAACCCTAGAGTTGTGTTCCAGCCAGATGAAAATGACGGTCACCGAGATCAAGGAATTGAGCGCACTCTCTTCCTGGTTTGCACCGTCGTAGTTAGGGCATTTTTAACCGATCCTCTATAACCAGTTAAAGAGTAAAAATTCGATTTTACCTCTTTAACTGGCATCTAGCCGATCCCCGATCCGTCGTAAGGGAGTAAAAATTATACTCAGTCCGGCGAGTTTTCCTATATTTACTCCATCGCTCGGTGGTTGAGTAAAAGTCGCGCCTCTTCTCCACTGCCTCTCTACGCTGCATCTGTGCCAGCGCCACCGGCACCGGCCCGCCGCTGTGGATGCTCCGTAGGCTCCACCACTGTCCTCGGCCACTTGGATTTGTGCCTCCTCTTCCTGTCGTCGGCGCAGAACCGGTGGATTTGCAGCTATTGTCGCCACTGCTGGAATTGATGTTTTCGGCCGCCAGCGACTGCGCCTTGCCATGGATTGGCCGGAAATCAGATCGTACAGCCCCGGCAATGGCTCTGCGCTGCATGCAGGTATTGGATCCTCTTCTAGCCACTCGAATCTCTCATGTCGACGGTTCGTCGGCGAAGACACGCCCGGTCGTCGCCCGGGCTCGGTGCTGGCCCATCGACTCGTCGGCTCGCCGTTGCCTGTCATACAGTGGGACGACTGCCCACGGCAGGTGGTGCATCGAGTTTCTACCACGCCGCAACATCTCGGACGAGTGTTGGTCAAGTGTAGAAGTAATGGGGTATGTGCTTCTTCTAATTTGGTTGTTCACCGGATTCGGCGCAATTTCGGTAGCTCATTGTTTGTTCAAATTTCTGTGTAGGATAGATGCGAGTTTTGGTATTAGGAAGAAGAATACGTCGATCTATTGCACGAAAATTGATAGATGTTCATGCACTCGTTGCTAGAATACAGGCTAGAGATGAGATTAGATGCGAAGCAACGTCTACTCCTTTAGAACCGAAGAATAAAAAAGTGTGCAAACTCGAGAAGCCGCAGATCAACAATGAAGACACAGAGAAGATATTAATCCAGCTACTCGGAGCAGTTACAGAAATTGGATATCTTTCAAAATATCTAATTGTGGTTCTTATTTTCTTTGGTCTTGCTCTCATGGCAAGGAATTGGTGAATTATGCACTTCAATGTATCAAAATGTCGTTGAATGAAAAAAGAAGCAAATAAATGTGTTTCGGTGGCCCAAAATGAAATGCAAATGATTTTTTTTACTCCGTTATACATAGGGGATCGGCTATGTCCAAACAAAACTTAGTGGAGTAAATTTAGTCCACTAAGGGTTTACTCCACCGGATACTCCACTATTTATTGGGAAGCGGTTAGAAATGCCCTTATACCTGCGGCCACCAGTCTTGAAGCTTCATTGGAGTCAGGATGAATCCGTGGAGCTGCTAAAGTAGTTTTTTGAAACCTTAGCCTATAAAAAAGTAGTTTTATGCTATTTACTCTTGTTAAAGGCATTACTCGAATATATTCAGATCGATTCTTCAAGGTGAAAACACATAGTTTGGCCTTATGGTTGCATCCAGTGATGGCGGCGCTTGAGTGTCGCTCCCTTCCCAAAGGTGTTACTTTTGAAGAACCTTGTCGTCCATGTGATGTAATTAGGTGGTTAGTACAGATATGGTCACTGGTGTAGTTTGCTTATCGCAAATCTAATTGCTTCGAGGATTATTTTTTCCTTTTTTCCTCGCATATGCATAATTTTGGTCATGACTTTGCTAGTTGTTGGCGTGTTTTTGCGTGTGTGTTTGAGTTGATGTTGGTTGTGTGCATCCTAACTATGCATAGGCAGGGTGTGCGCCTATTATGTTATATATCATCTTGATAATCTATTTTGAGCCAATAAAATAAAACATTTATGAAAATATCCCAAATGAAACTTAGAACAATAAATGAAACTTAGAAAAAAGGATAAACTCACTCTTTGAAGTGTTTCCTTTCCTCACTTGCTAACTGCTCTGCCCATTTCTATGCCAAAAAAAAAAAAACTCTACCTATTTGTATATTCTTCAAAAGTTATACCCCTTCCTGCGAGTGCTCTCGGTGGTCTTGCTAGCAGTCTTCCCGATTGCCCGATTTCACTGAAACAGAGATGTGCAACAGAACTTATTCAGTCATCAAGCAACATGTTACATGTTCTCGAATGTAGTGATCTTGTGACACAACCCATTACTCCTGCATAAGCTGGACATAGTACTTTATATATTCAAATGTCTGAACCTAGATTCCAGTGTATCTGAATTCTGACCTCATACATGACTGCAGTTAGGGGTTGCTCCTTGACTTGTTAATCTTGCAACTGACTTTCACTAGTCTTTCTAGTTAGGGGATGCTCCTTTATGCTACATCATGTTTTAGAATGTGGTGATACCTGGTTGGGCGACAACCAATTACAGGAAAATGCTTCCGTGACTACAGCAGCTGGACAAAGTACAAGTGAAACGTTGGCATTTGGTAGTACTTGACATGCACAAATGTCTGAACCTGAACTCGCACTGCAGGTTTGGGATGCTTCTCGGTTTCTTCAGCTTGCAACTCAGAGTTTTTCTAATAACCAGACCAAGTGAATTTATCAGATTCAGACGATTGGTAGATACAACTATTCGTCCCACCGCACAGATGTAAAACTCCATAGCATTGCAAAATCATGAACAGACGGATGACAGCAAGAGAATTTACTATAAGTCAGAGAGATTTCTGACATTTTTTTTTCCAAAGCAGAACAGATCATACTATATCAACACCATTACTTAAACAGCGAACATTAATTCTATTACGAAGCATTAGTAATCGACTAAGCCTTCTTGGGGGACTTGGCGGCCTTCTTGGGCGACTTGGGCTCCTTCTCAGCCGTCTTCTTGGGGAGCAACACGGGGTTGATGTTGGGCAGCACGCCGCCGTGCGCGATGGTGACGCCGGCGAGCAGCTTGCCGAGCTCCTGGTCGTTCCGGATGGCGAGCAGCAGGTGGCGCGGGATGATGCGGGACTTCTTGTTGTCCTTGGCGGCGTTCCCGGCGAGCTCTAGAAGCTCGGCGGCGAGGTACTCGAGGACGGAGGCGAGGTAGACGGGGGCGCCCATGCCGACGCGCTGCGCGTAGCGACCCTTCTTGAGGAAGCGGCCGATGCGGCCGACGGGGAACTGCAGCCCGGCCTTGACGGATCGCGCCACCGCCTTCTTCCTAGGGCCGCCGCCAAGCTTGCGCCCCACCACGTACTTCTTCACCTTGGAGACGGCGCCGGTGGCCGAGGCGTCCATGGCGGCTAGAGTGATTTGAGATTTGGCGCGATGGGGGATTTCAGAGGGCGGGAGTGTGCTGCTGCGGAGAGATTTGGCGATGGGGATTTGAGATTTGAGTGTTGTGTTGGACGACGGGTTTGGGCAGACTATTTAAACGGCGCGGGAAGGGGATGGTGTGGGCCCGACGATCCGCGACCACAGGCAATGGACGGTCGGATCGGTGGCGAATGGACGGCAGCGATGCGAAAATTACACTGTGCATTCCTATCATTCAGTCAATATTTTGTCAACCGAAGAAATAAATGGAAGGAAACCCATAAAGCGAGGGGATCATTATTTGGATACAAGGTTTTTCACTAGGAATCTTTTCTCATGAAAAAAATTGGGTCAAGGAATGAAACCACAAAATTATAAATTGGTTATGTAAACTCAAATCCATATGACATGCCAGGCATTATTAGAAATTTACTCTTTTGTTTTGTACGGGCGTAATATGATTATAAATTTCCTCTCTCTTGAATTTTGGTGTAAAAACCGTGTGAAACAGTAAGAGCTAGTTTGTAGATTTTCGAATTTATGTTTCTTGCGGGATTACATAAGCCTTTTGTATCTCAAATAGCTTTGAAATAACAGGTAACAGGAACACGCCTGTTGCAATTAACATGCTGGAAATTCACTACGATGGCAACACGAATATTGTGACGTTACGGCAAGCGTCTTCCGCAACCGCGAACCCTTCAAATGTCATCCGTACTTTAGGCTTGAATTTCTGATAACATTATGGTGTACAAGATGAACACTAAACGAAAACAAAAAGGCAGAATAAGCACCTTCATGCACAATAAACTATGTATACGAAAATATCATCATGGTTAGTGTAAGCCCGTCAAACAAGAAAGAGTCGGGATGTTTGCTTTTGCTTTTGAGTGTAGTAAATTCTCCTCATTCATCTATCTTTGTGATCCATTTCTTACCTGAAAATCCAAATACATAAGATAAGGCATCGTCTTTCGCTTTGACGAATTTGGACCT